GCTCCTCCCCTCTCCTCACCCCCCCGGCCTCTCCACCAAAAATGGAAAGCGAAAGAGCATTAACTTTGTCTGAAACAAATCAGGACAATTTTCTCACTGAGGCAAAAAATATATAAAATACTAAAATTATACTAATTCACCCTTGCTCCCTGCCCCCGGTTCCCATATATGTAAATATATATATTTTTTTGCAGTATTATTCATTAAATACTGCAGTTTTCAGACTCTCTGTCTCGCCGTCTGTACTTGATGCTCATTGGTCCCCAAGTCCTGTGTTGACGTGGTCACAGTCACTGAAGTGAAGGACAGATCTAATGATGTAATCTGAGGCTGATCACAACTGTCCTTCACTGTGGAGCTGGAGGTGTGTGACAGTGTGTGTGTGTGTGAGTGTGACACTCTCTACTGTCAACGAGAGAGAGACAGAGACAGAGAGAGAGAGAGTAATGATGGAGAAAGCTCTCCACCAGACTAACTCCGACTTTGACAAGACTATTGGATTAAAACGTCACGGTTGGACTGGGCTCCTGAGAGCGTTCCCAAAATAATCTTTCGCTGCAAAACACAGCGGCAGAACTTTCACTTTTAAAGACTTTTATTCATTACAAACGCAAAGTTGAGGATTTCAAGCCCTATTCATAAGAAGAAGGAACTGGAGGGGGAGGGAGGGGGGGAGCAGAGGGGGGAGTAAGATAAATATTCCAGGATTAATATTCCTGATGTTTTTCTAAATCACCGTCTTCACTGCGGAGCTAATGGAGCTCAGCGTCTCACAGATCTGCTCCCACAGCCGTGTCTGTCAGGCTCTTATCACACTGAGGTGTGATGTCATCGCTGACGGAAGCTGCCGGAAACACTGGCGGCTGAGACTGAGATTTCACGACAGCTCATTTGACTGCATGATGAACTGATGGTGAACGCAACACCAAGGAGTAACTGATGAAGCGGAGCAGCCGAGGATGAAGTACTTGTCATATTAACAAGATCCTGCAGGTGGCAGCAATCGGTTTCAGGCAGAGAACAAATGCAGTTCTATTATAAAAACAGGACTGGAATCGGCTGCAGTATGAAGTAGAGATGGCTGTGAAGGAACAGATGATGCAACCCCCCAACCCCCCCCCACCCCCCCAAATAAATAAAGTTATGTAAGTATGAAATGTTAGCCGAAAAATTACATTATCCAGTAGCCAGAAAGCTATAAAAGCTAAGATATTAGGCAACAAATAACAACTACAACGAAAGCCGAAATACTTAAGCTAAGAATGACTGCATTAGCGGCACATGCTAATGGTGCTAACCGCCTACCTTCAGGTCCCGTTTCCTGGCCCTCTCCAGGTCCTGGACCGAGCAGCAGTGCGCCTCCTGCAGGCGGTGCGTTCTCCTCTGGTGTTCCGTTTGCAGCTCATCCAGCTGCATCCTCAGGTGCTCCCTCTCCTGGTTGAACTGGTGCTGCAGCTGCTGCAGCGACGACTGCGACTGGGACAGCTGCATCTCCAGACTCTGCTTCAACAAGGAGATCTGGGAGGAAAGGTGGAGACGGAGGTCGTCAGACAGGAAGTTTATCAGAGCAGTACTGACGTCAGACCAGGAGTAGTGGGTTTGACGCTGTGTGTGTGTGTGTACTTCACACATTAAGCACTTTGTCTTTTTTAAAGCCTCACTCCCAACAACAACAACTTTATTTCCCATCAGACCCAGAGAAACAGGGTTTGTTTGTATTCACTCTCTTCTACTTTTAGTCCAGTTTCACCAGGAGACTCGCTCCTCTCAGCAGCTGCTGTATCTTAGTAACGACACTGAGCTGCTATTTTGGACCAGAATCACTTTTAAATATATATATATTTATATATACAATATATAAAAATATCAGAGGAACTTGACTTTATTTTAAAGGTCAACAGCAGGGGGAGAAATAACCCTATATCAATGAAATCAAGCTGTACATAAAAAAAGCCTCGCCCCATAGTTTAGTTCAGTGGAGATTTATAAAAACGTTGTTAAATTAAAAAAAAGACAAAGAACATTAACGTACATTGATCAAACCACTTTAGAACACACAATGCTAATGATTTCATGATATTTGTGGTATTTAGCTGCTAGCTAGCTCGAAGCGGCTAAAGGTTAGCACAGTACCTGCTCCAGCAGGTCCTCCACCTTCCTCTGCCAGCTCTCCCTGGCGTTGCTCAGCTCCTGCTCCTTGTTCTGGACCAGCTGGGTCAGGGCAGAGGCCTTGTCCTCCTCGTGCTCCTCCCTCAGCTCCTCCCGCAGCTTCTTACACTCCTGCCTGCAGCACAGCGACAACACACAGCGAACATGAGGCCAACGCCGACGTTCCGAGCAGAGACTCGTTCAAACACACTCTGTAGGACATTTAACTGCTGTCTGTTTTCATGGCGTGAACGACAGGAGAGGTTCACGGCGGGCCGTGGTCCTCCTCCTCCTCCTCCTCCTCCTCCTGTGAGAGGTTTATATTTTTATCTCCTCGTTGATAGATTGAGGTTGTGATGATTCCCAGGATACAAACAAAAATAAAGCTCAACGTTTCCCCCATGAAACGTCGCTGGTTTTTAAACGTCATCATTCGATGTAAGACCTGACACTAATTGGCCTCTTCAGTGTCAGAGTGGTGTTTTCTAAAACTCTCAACGTGGTTTCACGGAGCTGAGACACACACTGTGATTTGGTGGAGTGTAAATGAAGTGTGAAGGTTGTGTGACCGTTTTTCAGTTTTAAATTAGCCACTATTTTAAAATGACAGCAAATGACAGATCTGTGCTGTTTCACGTCTTCACGTTTATTCTCATTAATGTAAAACTCCCTCGTCAACTTATCAGGTCATTATTGTTAAATGTGTTACTACATTTGATGTCATTAAAAATGGTCATTTTCCAGCTTTATTCTCATTAGTCAACAACACTTTTTTTTTTACTCATATCCATAAATGTACAAATTTATTCTAATTATGTTACGGCTCATTCCTGTAAATATATCATTAATTCTCATCATAACACAACATTTATTTAGTATTATTTCGTTGTTGTAAATGCAACACTGTCTTTTTTTAACCTTATTCTAGTAAGTTGATGACTTGACAGGTTTGAGTCCAATTTGTAAGTAAACAAAATACATATATATATATAAAAAGAGAGTGTGTGGCAAGTTTCGTTAAGTTTTGCTCAAAGTTGAGATTTTACAATAATAAATAATAAATTAACTCCTGTTTTATTTCACAGCCCATTACACAGGTTTGATTACATATTTCATGAGTTCATAAATATTTCTGCTAACTTTGTGGACAAGACTTCAGGTCCACAACAGGTCTATGAATATATATCTGTATAATAACTGATCTCACAGGAGGTCAAAGGTCACATGTTGGTCTCCATGAAGACCCCCACCAACATAAAACATGTTACCTGAGGGTCTCGGTCCATTTGAGCTCCAGCTCCAGGGCCATCTTGTCCATCTTGTGTTTCTCCTCTTCTTTGGTGGTGATGACTTTAGCTTCATGGTGACGCTTCTGGGTCTCCAGCTCCCCCTGATGGACAGACAGAGACACTCTTTTATATCTACTTTCTCAGTTATAAACCCAAAAAAACAAACACTGAAGGACAAACTAGAATGGACACTGACGCTAGTTTTTAGCCACAGAAACGCAACGACCCACCAACATAAAACATGTTACCTGAGGGTCTCGGTCCATTTGAGCTCCAGCTCCAGGGCCATCTTGTCCATCTTGTGTTTCTCCTCTTCTTTGGTGGTGATGACTTTAGCTTCATGGTGACGCTTCTGGGTCTCCAGCTCCCCCTGATGGACAGACAGAGACACTCTTTTATATCTACTTTCTCAGTTATGAACCCAAAAAAACAAATACTGAAGGACAATCTAGAATGGACACTGATGCTAGTTTTTAGCCACAGAAACGCAACTGGGTTAAACACATGTTACGTAGCATTTGCCAGAACATTTTGAGCATGTTCAACAGGTGAAAAAACACATTGATACTCGATGGTCACAACAACAACAACAACAACACACACGTGTGTGTTTCTCCAGTGTGTGTGTCGTCTGCCCACCTGCAGGGCCGTCAGCAGGTTGCTGGTTTCCCTCAGCCGCGCCCTGGTGGCGTCCAGCTCCTCCAGCAGTTTGTCCTGGGCCTCCTTCATGGTGGAGATCTGTCCCTCGGCTGAGCCCACGTCCTCCTCCCTCTGCTGCACCTCCCCCTGCAGCCGGGACATCTGAGTGGAGGACAGAGAGACAGACAGAGAGGAGACTCAGAGGAAATGTAGTATTATTTTTCTCGCACTTCTTTTCTCACACCGGCTCCTCAACTCACTGTACATTTAACCTCCTGGTCTGTGGTTCAACCTTTGGTCACTGTGGTCAGTTCACCAACAACAGCCTTTATCATCTGACCTGTCAATATTCACTGATATTCATGTGGTATTTTACCAGAGTCTGTAAATATGTCTCTCCAAGAACCAGCAGTCTGAAAAACACTGAGAATTTACTCCCAATAAGAATAATGGACTATTTATCAGATACTTAATACTACAGTACTACTATAACTACTTAATACCTGAGTATCTATTTATTATTATTTATGTTTTTGACCGTTTCCGTCCACACTCAACCTCTTTACATCTACTTTTATCCTCATTTTGAATCATTATTCCGACTTTGTTCTCCTACCTCTTCGCTGGCCGCCGTCAGCTTGGAGTTCAGCTCCTCCTTCAGCTCGTCCAGCTGCTGCCTGAGGAGCACCTTCTGCTTCTCCAGAGTGAGGCGCTCTTTCTCAAACTGCTGCTCCAGCTCCTGCAGAGCAGAAACATCAGAGTCACAAAGAGGTGACACACAAACATCAGAGTCACAAACAGGTGACACACCAACACACACACTCTTCTCTGGCTCCTCCCTCCTGCTTTTTTTCGTTATCTTTTTGCCTTCTCTGGCTCCTCCCTCCTGCTTTTTATCTTTTTGTTGATGCAACTTGTTGACACCACTACTGAATTATGCTGTTTTGCTGTTAGCAGTCAAGCTAACGGACCCCTACTGGGTGGAACAAGTACTGATTAACGCTATGAGAAAATGAAATATCACAATATTTCATTTCACTACTGCATCAATATCCTCCATCACTGTATGGATTTTTTTATTAACAATTCCCAGTCAAATATTCCTGATGTTGCGTCATTTAATTTTTCTTTTCTTTCTTCTCTCGTGATTCCAAATGTAGATCCTTTTCGTACAGACTTTAATATTCCACAGTTCCAGTTCCTGGTTCAGCTGTTGTTACCCCTGCAGTGGGCTTCAACAGATTTCTATAAAACACTCCAAACTGCTCCATTGTCCCAGGGAGCGAGGGGAGACAGAGGTTTGGCGTTGTTACCGTGATGAAGCTCATTATCCCTGCTGATGAATGGAGGAGCCGTTCTCTTGTACAGTGAAGTGATTACTGTTCTCCAAGGACGATTAAAGCTGAAGGAGAATGGCTGTTACGTCAACTGAAATTTGTCAAACGCTATTTTTTTTTCTACATGAAGGTGAGTTTGTGATGCTGCGAGGACCGGGCGATAAATCAAAAGAGAAACACAACGCTTCCTTCATTTACCCCAAAAATTCTAAATTCTATATTCCTCGTCCTGGTTAGAGGTCAGGTGACCAACATTGACCTGAGCCGCAAAAGCTGCTTCTCAAAGAAAGAAAAGGAAAATCAGAGAGACATCAGAATTCATGTGATACTTCACATCTCCACCCACTGAGGCAGAGCCGACCCGTTCATTTCAATTCCAAACCTGGGCTCCTCACAGACAACCTTGATTATATTTTGAAGTGATGAGAGCATGGAGGCCACGAGAGAAAGAATGACGGAGCGAGGAGGACAACCAGGACGACCAGGACCGCAGCAGACGCAGCTTCACACTAACTCCTCAAACCAAACTCTTACAGTTCCAATCAACCGTCCACATCTGAACTCCAGACTCTATTGACAGTAAGCCGAGTTTAATAAGACCAGAGCAGTCTTTAATGAGAGGAGATAAATGGTGATGAGCAGTGTTTCCATTTCCAGTTTAGTTTAGAGTTCTTACAAATAAAAGATCATTGGATTTGGTCACTATTTCTCTGGAGTTGAGTTCATCGTTCTATCTCTAGTGAACAGTAATAGGTGGTAGAAGACGATCCAGTGACTGACCGTCTGCTTGGACAACCATGGACATGGAGTCCATATTTGACCAGATGTCCATTCATTTATGGAACAACTCCACACTGAGGTCTTTTCACACTGTGAGTACAGAGCGGCCGCAGGAGAGATACAAACGGACCCCGCCCGCTGCTTCTCCTCTTCCTCCTCTTCCTCCTGCTGCTCTCCACAACTGGCAGCGTTCTGCAGCAACGTGGTGAAGAACAAACGGCAGGAATGAAGGCAAATGATTGTGCACATCAGAGCACAGCAGGAGAAAAGACAGGGTCGGGGGGGGAGTGGGGGGGTGGTACGAGGATGTGGAAATGCTACAAGGCCAAAGAGGAGAAGTACGCAGAGTACATGTGAACGGGAGCCAACGTCTACCTCTGAATGATCGACTCTGACTCTGATCTGGTCCAGAGTGGGTTTTCAGAAAAAAAAAAAAACAAGTCTTCATTACGCAAGTTTGATGCAAGGGAATAATTGATCACTTGGGTTTCACTGTGTGTGAGTAAGAGAGAGAGAGAGAGAGAGAGAGCCTATGCTACAGTATGCTGTGGTTTGGAACAGTGAGAACTGGAGGCTCATTAAACCGGTCCCTGGGACCGAGCTGAACTCGACCAGAACTGTTTAATATCTCACAGCCTCAGACTCCACCTGGTACAAGAGCGTTTGTTGGACGGGGAAGAAAAAAAAAACCTCCATCGTCACGGCCGCGGCTCATTACGTGGGAACTGATGCGGTGGTCGACGCTACGGCCGCTCCATTATTTCTAATCATGTGGACGTGGCGCTCGTTTCTCGGCCACTGGGTGGCGCCCTGTGTGTCAGTGACAGTGTCCAGCTGCGGGGCTGAAAACCACATTCTTGGGCATCTCCTCGTTAGCGTGTTGGTTAGCACCGCTGCTGTGGTCGACTGCAGACTGCAGGGAATCAACCAATCAGAAACAACTTCATCAAAACTTTTGGGGACCAGGTGGAATTGAACCCGAAACCCACTGCAAGGCAGCAGAGATCCTACCCCCCGCACCACCACTGTAGCCCCAAGGTACTGTAAAGTACTGCAGTTAGGTCCTTCAGTGAAGTACTACAGTAAAGTCCTACAGTAAAGTACTACAGTGAAGTACTACAGTAAAGTCCTACAGTAAAGTACTACAGTAAAGTACTGCAGTTAGGTCCTTCAGTGAAGTACTACAGTGAAGTACTACAGTAAAGTACTGCAGTTAGGTCCTTCAGTGAAGTACTACAGTAAAGTACTGCAGTTAGGTCCTTCAGTGAAGTACTACAGTAAAGTACTACAGTAAAGTACTACAGTAAAGTACTTTGACTGTGTTTCACGGAAAACGGCAGAAGAATAAAAAGTAAGAAACAGATGCCTACAGTAAAGTACTTTGACTGTGTTTCACGGAAAACGGCAGAAGAATAAAAAGTAAGAAACAGATGAAAAAGAGGAAGTAGAAATGGTAAAAAAAGAGACAAAATGGACAAATTTGTAGTAAAAGAATAAGTATTTGAAGTATTTGAATAACAATAAGAAGAAGTAGTAGAAGTAGTAGTAGGAGAGAGTGTTCCATGAATACAGCGTGTACTGCAGCAGCTCACGTCTGGTTAGTGCTGACAAACTGCTCTAAGTAAGAGTGGCTGAAATATTTATGATGGAATATTTTAAATACACACACACACACACACACACACACCTGCAGCCTCTCCAGGTTGTTACTAATCTAAGCCTAATCCTGAAACTACCTCTAATCTGATCCCAGGTCTGATCCTAACTCCAGACGTCATCATTCTCTCTCAACAAACAAGTACAGAAAGACCAGAACACACACACACACACACACACACACACACACCCACACACACAGTCACCAACATGGCCGCCGCGCCGCCTCCATCCCATCATTTCGCCCCACTTTGGATGACTGTACTCGCTCCGTTCTGCCCACTTGCACTTTCACGTGCAGTAAATGTCTGGCTCTGATGAAAAAGGACGATGAATTTTCATCCCCGCGTCTCTTTAAATGTCAAACATCTCGCCCTCTCTCTCCACCGCCTTGGCTTGTTTTTTCTTACCCCCGTGGTCGGTGTAATTAACCTCCATCATCTCGACTTCATCTGAAAACGCATAAAAATCTAATGTAGCATTTAAAAGGGTCAGTTCAGGGTTTTTAACTGGCCCACGGTCCCTGCTGACAGATGCAGCGACGGTGCCAGGATTCACCGACCGACTGGAACTGCTCACTGCTGCTACCAAAAAAAAAAAGATTTTAAACCTTTTTATCAACAGACTCATCTAATAAAACACACACACACACACACGCACCGCTCTGAGTTTACGTTTGTGTAAAAAAGCTCTTACCTTCACTGCACCAAAGCACATGGAGAAAAACAACATTTTAATCCTGTGGTCGCACGACAGCAAAATCGGCCCTAGTGGTGAGAATGTGAACTCTTTGTTTCTTTTTTGAAGCATTGAAAGATGACAAATGCATATGTTACAGAGACGTAGCTCATAGAGCTCGCTAACAGCTAACACCGAATTGAGAAACTACCAATGGAAACACAGCGCCTGACGTCAGACTGTGACCAACGATCCATCTGTGACAGCTGTTCCAGGGTCAGTCAGAAAGTCCACAGACTTAAACATCCATCCATCCATCCATTTTCATCCACTTATCCGTTACCGGGTCACGGGGGCAGCAGGCTCCACCCAAACCTTCCTGCAGGTGGGGAGTCCACTGGAAGGTACCAACCGGGATTCGAACCTGCCCTGGAGGTGAACCCTGGGGGTCCACACCAACGACAGAGACATCGCCTCTGGGCCGAAGCGCCACTAGACTTAAAAATCAATTTTTCAGATCAGAGCAAACGACTTCAATGGAAACCATTACCAACTAAAAAAAAAAAAAACACAAAAAAAAAAAAAAAAGAAAGAAACCACTACGTTACAGAGACGTCAGAAACAGCGAACACCACAATGAGAAACTACGCCTGACGTCAGACTGTGACCAACTAATCCATCTGTGACAGCTGTTCCAGGGTCAGTCAGAAAGTCCACAGACATTTCTCAAACCAGAGCAAACGACTTCAATGGAAACCTGTTCAAAAGATCAAAACCAAATCAACAGGTTTGGATCTGGAACCATCGGAGACTTAGCTGGGATTTTCATGAATAACAATTTGAAAAGAACGAAAGAAAGAAGAAAAAAAAAAGTGTCTCAGAACTTTTTGACTCCCACTCCAGTTTCAGTGCAGCTGACACACACCCGGGGGGGGGGGGGGGTGGGGGGGGTGCACTCGCCGGTCGTCACTGCCGACTGTGACTCATACAAATCCCTTCTACATGATTTGATCTGCACTCATCTCATCTCAGTTTGTGAATCAGAATCAGCCACAAATAAACGCTCGGCTCACGTGGAACAATGGAACTCTTTTCAGAACCAACTGTTGTCAATATGTCTCTCCATGGCTGTGTTAATCTAATGTGCCTCTCATGATCCTCTCCACAAGCTGCTGTGTAGGTGTGTGTGTGTGTGTGTGTGTGTGTGTGTTCTGGTAGAGCTATACTTGTCAGGACATGACGATCGTAGCGACATTTTTGTGTGTTGCGATCTACGTGTGTGTGTGTGTGTGTGTGAATATGAGTGGCACGTTCTGCGACAAAACCAACGTTAACATGTCGGAGTGTGAACACCACCCCCGCCACCCCCCTCCAAACCTTCAGTGCCAACCAGTGACTCTCACTCTGTCTGATTCGTTCCCATTCATAATTCAACTCCATCACTGTATTTCTGGACTTCTTTTCTTTTCTTTTCTTTTCTTTTCTTTTTCCAGATGGTTCCACACCAGGTCCTCAGTGATATTTCGGTGTGTGTGTGTGTGTGTGTGTGTGTGTGTAATCGTTCTCCCACACACACACTCGTGGGCTGCACCTCTATCATCTCATTCAGGTTTATTCCTGTCTTCTCCTCCGCACACATCCCGATCTCTCCACAGTCATGTCATGTGTGAGAGCGCCACCACCTGTCAGGCCGACTGCTGCACCTGTGATGTTGTTTTAATTCCATCCTCCCTCTGCAGAGGTGGAGTCATGAATATATCAAACCTGGAAACATATGTTAAAGACGCTGCCTCGCAGTTTTCTCCCGTTGGCGGTGACGAAGGACGCGGTGCGTGTGATAACGAGGTCTGAATAAATAAACACACATGAGGAACTGAAGAAGAACAGATATATTTCCTCTCTCTGCCTCCAGGAAAAAAAAAACTGACAGATTTACAGCCTTACATTTAAAAATGTCTCCATAAACGCTTGTTTATCAAAAAGGTAAAAAAAAAACAAACATCCATTTCAGTCGGTACAGTATGAACTAGGGCTGTGTTTTGGCAACAATCTGTCAACAATATATTGTGATATACTGCAATACTAAAGGTACAACGATGTATCTCAAGGCCTGGAACCTGGAAAATGGTATGGTATTCCAGGTGGTATTTTAAGCTGGTGGCGTTTGGTGAAAGAAAAAATAGTTTTCCAGCAGTGTGTTCAAATAACATGGAGAGTATTGACTGTGTATTAGAGCAACATCACATGGATGGACGGTGGAATCATCAATCTGCTCGTGTGTTAAAATGATTTATGTGATTAATATGTTCATTTTGACAACAGTTGACAACAGCCTGATCTGAGTCTTCAGGTTCTTATTGTTGCTTCATTTATCCATCCATCTGATCTAAAAAATTATATCAGAATTAAAATGTATAAAAAATTGCAAAAAAAAAAAAATTGCAATTTTTTATACATTTTAATTCTGATATAATTTTTTTTCTTTAAAAAAAAAACGCTTTATATTTATTTTTTTTTACGACTCTTTACTAACTTCATTCCTCCTAAATGCTCTAACAGAAGCAGCTGCTTTATACGCAATTTCCTCCAGGGGGATCAATAAAAGCGTGATTCTGATTCTGTCCACGTCCCACAGTTTAACTGAGAGGAACTCAGTGAGCGTCTACAGAGAAGCAGGAAGTCACACCTGAGACCATGAGTCTGTGTTTCCACTGAGACCTCACTCACTCCTGCAGTCACGTCAGCTCCGTCCATTATTCTTGTACGGTCCATCAATCACTCTCAGCCTGTTCTGGTATCACTGCTCCACACAACGACCCTGACACAAACCAATCAGGGACCAGGTGGAATCAAACCGGGAACCTTCTGCCTTCTCCCACTGTCAGCGTTGCCCTGTGTTTAGGGCAGGAATTCTATCCGTTTTTTTTTTTTACAAACGTTAGAGCTGATACTCTACAGAGTGGGACTGGTGACGATGGTCACAGGGAGACACATCCAGCCACCGCGGACCCACCGTCTGTCAGTCAACGGTCTGCGCTTGTTTCTCAACAAATTGATGGCGGCCAGACTGAGGCGCTGTGACAGGTCCAATTTATTTTGGCAGTGCGTGTGAGAGTGAGAGGACAGATTGTAAACTGACTGAGTCATTATTACCGAGAAAAGAAGTAAATGATGGAGTAGTGAGGAGCGTTTGTCCAGACATGGACGTAGCAGCTCATATTTACAGCTACCTTAATGTTGACCCAAAACTAAACAGCAAATTAATGAGACAACAAAGAAACTAACTGGGTTTAAAGCAAAAGCTAGTCAATAATAGCTACAATAATTAGCATCTAAATGCTAGAAAATTGAGTTTTTTCTCTATTGGTTCTAGGTTCCGATGAGGGGGGGGGACTGGGTACCGATTCCCCCAGTGCCTCCTGGGTACAATGGACTTACCGACAGCAGGCGGTTCTTGTCCTTCTCTGCGTTGCTCAGGGCGTTCTCCAGGGTCACTCTGTGCTTCTTGGCCACCTCCTCCAGCGTCCGTGCCTGGCCCTCCTTCATCTGGCTGGTCTCCTCCTCGTAGTGGGCTCGCATGTTGCTCATGTCCTTCTCATGGGACGTCTTGTCGTCCAGCAGCGTCTGAGGAACAGACACACACACATTTACAATTGACATTTGCACCATCTGTGTTTCCAATATTTACGGATTGATCGCCAAAGAATCAATACTCCTGTCCTGTCTTTCCATCTTTTCAAACTCCCAAAGGCTACAGCCAGATTCCAGAACCTTGACGGATTAGACCATTTTTTTAATTAAGTATTTTTGCAAGAGCAAAAATGTCATTTACACATGGCACTACATGATAAACACCTTTAAATTAATCTGTATATAATCGTTATGTTGTAATACCACAGCCCGGTTTCTGCAAAAATGTCATTTACACATGGCACTATGTCCAGTTTAATGATAAACACCTTTAAATTAATATGTATATAATCGTTATGTTGTGAGTCAGAAAAGGCTAGCCAATAAGTGATTAGCTTATTTCAGCAAACTGGCTAAACTATAGCTTAAGGCTAAAAGAAAAATTACCAAATTATAAGCTGGATATTGCCAATAAAAAGTTACAACTTTGGCAAAAGAGAACTTAGCTCACAGAGGAGTTAGCGGTAAGATAACTCAGAGCTTACTCACAGTAGCTAAACTGTAGCCAAATTAATTAAAGTAAAATGTGAACTCAGCACAAAAGCTACACCTCTCAACTGCCAACCCCAAAGGGGATAGGTTTGTGATAGTTAGACCGCAAATCAACGGCTCAGAGTTAGCACAGAAAAGGCTAACTGGACTGATGATGAGAGATTCTGTCTGTGTCACAAAGATAAACAACATTTTTCTTATGTTTGTGGTCGGTGTTTACCAGACTAAATGAAAACAGTGGGAATCTGGCAGGTCGTCAAACGCTGGCAACGGCACAGAGATATTTTAATTTGCCACCAGGGGACGGAATCACGACAGCGTGCACTGTAATAACTGCTCGGAAACGAGATGTGTGTGTTTGGGAAACATTCCAAAGTGTCCATCACAGTGGTCAAAGTGAGGCAGCCCGCTGTGATTTCATGTGGTCCGCACCACGCTTCGACACAGTGTGACACAAACAGAGCCGCCGAACAACACGGGAGGTTGATTCCTGCATTCTGCGGGAGGAGACGCGGAGTGGAAAAAAAAAAAGGGAAATGAAGCCAAAGATGAAGGTAATTATGGAGAAACAGGAGCCGGAAAATATCTAACTGTGGAGCGCAACCCCTGAAGGAGACGTGTTTGAAGGAATTGTAGGAAAGTACAACAAAAACCTCAACTGCAACAGAGATTTTGAAAAAGTCTGAAGAGCAGAAAAGTTATTTAGTCAGACGAAAAAAAGGCATTTACAGTTGTTGACTCACTTCAAAGGTGGTGGAGAAGAAAACTTTGGAAAGAAAAAGACATTTAGAAATTCTACTTTATAAAGTTTGAACAAAAACAACAGTAATTTCATACCAGGACTGTTGTAGCTAACGTTAGCTCTGGTGTCTGAACCGGGACTGTTGTAGCTAACGTTAGCTCCGGTGTCTGTACCAGGACTGTTGTAGCTAACGTTAGCTCTGGTGTCTGAACCGGGACTGTTGTAGCTAACGTTAGCTCTGGTGTCTGAACCAGGACTGTTGTAGCTAACGTTAGCTCTGGTGTCTGAACCAGGGCTGTTACGTCCATAACACACAACTGTGTCTGAATATAATGACTTTTCCCACTTCACAAACATAATCTGGAGTGTTTTTTGTTTTTTTTGTTTTTGTTTTTTTATCCCCAAAACCAACTTTTTCAGCAGAACTGGGTCTGAACAGCAGCAGGTTTAATTGGTGCAGGATGTTCTGTTTCTCCAGCAGAGGCATTAGGATTCACAGCAGTGCAGCTCAGTGGGAGAAGTCAGCCAGCTCCCACAGGATTACTGCACAAATGTCAGAGACGGAGCAGAAAACACACATGAAGCAGCAACACTTGACATTTGCCGACGGCTGCTGGCTCAGCTGACTGTGTGCTTCTTTAAATCATCTGACCTTTCAGCTGCCCCGCTTTTTAGGCTGATGAGCAGCAGGTTTTTTTCTTCTTCTATTCACTAAGTTGTTAAATGTTGACGTCGGCGTTGGTGTTGATTGACAGCTTTGACTCTTTAAACACTTTGATGACTGCAGGAAGTGTGTCTCACCGACTGTAAATTAAAGTTTTTGGTTCAACTGACACCAACGGTCCAAGACACGGACAGTCATGTGAAGAAGAGGACATCAACGTCAGGGTGTTGTTGGTAGAATTGCTTCAGTGAAATGTGTGTTGCCTAGGTAACATACAGGTGTTTTGCCCAAAGCCAACAATATCTGGTCCAGCCAATTATTTCATTTCATTTTTTTATATTTGCTGCTCATTTTTTCCACCTACAGTAAATTTATACGTCATCACAGACGTGTGTATTCACGTCATCTTCTAGCTGTGATGTCAGAAACAGAGCATTTAATCCCACTAGAAGAATGCTAATTCAATTTATATCCAAGCTAAGGGTTCATTTTAGCTGAAAACTCTGTGTTAGTGGACAGCTCCTGGTGCTGAAACTCAGCCATGAAGCCTCTTCTGGATATCTAAAAAACGTGAGCATCACTTTTTAACCAATCTTTTTTTACCATTTTCAATACCATAATTCCCTTTTAATGCTAATGTTATTTGACTTGACTGTTGTGAATTTTTATCTGTGTACATTTCCAGCTCGTGCCTCTTTATATTGAAAGAATCAATATTCCTACAGTACCTTCTCCAGGGACTGGATCTGCTGTTTCTGCCGCTCGTCCTGAGAATGGATCTGGCTCTGCAGCGCCTCCTGCTCCTCCTCCATCCTCACCACCTTGTCCTTCAGTCGGCTCCGTTCGTTGTCCAGGTCTCTGCTCCTGGTTCATCTGAGTGGCCTGCAGGCTGCTGATCTGACCTACGGATGGACGTGAGACAGCGGACGTGAGACAGCGGACGTGAGACAGCGCAGTGTCGTCTGCGTATTTATCAACTTTCCAAACCACAGTCATGATTTGTGCATGTTTTCTTATTTATTTACAGACAGATTACACCATAAATGTTAGCTCATTATAGCTATCTTAAAGCACCAAACATTAGCTTCATTTTCATTTACCACTGAAAATAAAATTTCAAAGATTTAACGGCTAACTGTCAGGCATTAGCGCTCTCTGTTTCTCTACAGTCTTACTGGCTTTCAGCAGTATTTCTGTGGCTTGCTGCTGCACCCGGTCTCGGGCCGCCTCCAGTTCACACTCAGCTTCTTTCTGACGGATCTCCACGATCTCAGAGTTCTGGGTCACCTCGTCCAGCTGCTTGGTAAGATCCTGCACAGAGCACAAGAAAGTAAGATGAAAAAAAAAAAAGTCATTCATTATATCCCCATTTTCTTTGTAACATAAAACATGTCTGCTCAGCCTTGTTCTTGTGATAATTAGACTGCTGGTTCAAATCCTCACTCAGGCAGAGTTTTATGAAGTGACTCTTCGGTCACCTCTGACTCTGACGAACCCTGAGAGACGAAGACGGAACAGGTACTAATGGAATATTAGACTGTGGGCATGAGTGCTGCTCATTTATAGTAAGATGAAACACACACACACACACACACACACGAGAGGCAATTTCACATCTCTCAGTCCCGTCACATGGTCGGACTAAAACTCAATTAAGACAATGGAATCTCAGACTGATAGCAGCCGCGGAGGAGGTTTCACATCACGGCGCTCCTCGTGCACGTGCACGTGCACACGCACGTGTGTTCTCCCAGATGAGAAGAGCGCATTTAAATGTGTTAAATACCCTGACCAGGGGTAAATATAAAACCTTTTAAACACTGTCATGAAGGTCAAAGGTCATATCGACCAAATATAATTTCCTAAAATTCAATCCTTAAATATATGTTGTCTTAGTTTGTCCAGTTTTGAAGAAGAAAAAAAACCCCACTCTACTTGCTGTAGTCTTTGTTTATATTTAATAATATATATTTTATAATTATAATGTAGCCCAGAGGTCAAAGGTCAGGAAGGTGTGTATTTAGCAGGCATGACTAAAAAAACAAAACAAAAATGGCTCCCACTCTCCAGGGGGGGGGTCACAAAGGTCAGCCAACTGTTTCTGTTGGACTGGTTAAAGGGCCAGTCCTGAGAGTCCTGACAGTGACATCACCACAGACTGAGCTCACTGACAACAGTTGGATCGTTAATGCATCACCTGTCAGTTAGCGACACTCACTGTAGATTAGCTTTTAGACTGAAAAAAAAAAAATATGTGGGCCACATCGCCCAGGTACGCCTAACGATGTGGTTCGTGGCTGGGCTATTTCTGTCGAGTGAGCGATAAAGAAGTAGGTTGTGGCAGAAATAGTTCCAGACGAGACGTTACTTCACACTTTTCCTTTTTGCTCACTTGCAATTTCTCCGCCTGCAGCACGTGTATATTTTAAATTTGGCTCAGATCCTGATGTCAGACTGAGGGTGTTGACGCGGTTGGTTCAGCCGAGCCTCGGTGGAGGCTGACTCGTACTGACATTGATAGTTAGCACCCCCTATGGTCATGAGAGGAAGAGGCTGACAAACAAACAAACACTATCTCTCACACACGCACGCACTCAGCTCCAGTTTCACTGTGACACCAATCACATTCATGTCACATGATGTCACTCCTTCTGCTCCTGATAGGACGTAAATGAAACAGTAATTACAGCCTGTGAGACTGGGGAACAGTTTTGATTTGATGGAACTGTTTAATTTTCCGCAGCAGACGATGAGTGACAGGGACCGAAATATCTGAACCGGGAATCTGAAACATGGCTGCGAACGCAACGCAGCTGTGATCAATGGAGTGACTCAGAAACTGATAAAAAAAATAGAGAGATAAAAGTTAGCTGACGTGTAGCTAAAGGTTAGCTAAAGGTTAGCTAAAGGTTAGCCATGGTGTTGGACAAAGCCTTAATTTAGAAGTATTTAAAAGCAGGTATTTAAAGTCCTTGTTTTGAAGTAACTCAGATACTCATAACATGTGTGTGTGTGTGTGTATAACATTCTTATGCTAATCTCTTCTCCCCACCTTGATGTTGCTCTCAGAGGCGGTGAGCGACGCCTGCAGCTTGTACGACCTCTCCCTGTTTTCCCGGGCCTCGTCCGACACCCTGGCCAGCTCTGCTCTCAGTTTCCCCAGCGTCTTCTGAAGAGCCGCCTCCTGGGTCTGGAACTCCCGCCGCAGCTCGGCCTCGGTGCGTTTCCATGCCAACAGGTTGTCTGCGGTGAGCTGCTGGGTTCTCTTCATGGCCTCCAGCTCGCGCTCGTAAAAAGCCTGAGCCTGGAGACGGAGGAGCGTCGGAGAGAGAGGAGCCATCAGAGCGGAAAACATCCAAACAGCTCGCAGTCAGACACTGAACAACACAACGCCAAACGCCCCCACAATTCTGACGGCACATGAACGCAGCATCACTGACCATCCCTGGTCTGCAGCTCAGCACGGATTACATGTACTGTAGTTCCCATTACTGCAGTAGTACATCTATCTGTGTACTGGGCTGAGGTACCTTGCTGAGTTTGGCCTCGTACTCCTCCACCAGCCTCTTCTTGTCCTGTTTTAACTCGTCCACCCTCTCTGTCAGAGAGTCCACCTGTAAAACACCCAGAACCAGAAAAAGCTCAGAAAAACAATTCTCACTTTCCGTCCCTGAAGCTGCCGCGGAGGGAAACAACATCAGGAGACACACGGGCAGTGACGAGGCTGGCGTCTGTTTGAGAAGCTGCTCCACTTCTTACCTCAGCCTTGTGGAGCTGGCCCAGTTTCTCCTGGTCTTTGCTGTAGTTTGCGTTCTGGCTCTGGTGGCTGCGAAGGAGCTCCTGCACCTCCTGCCTGTGCTGGGCCTTCAGCTCCTCCAGCGCCGCCTTCTTCTCCTGCTCAAACTGGGCCTGGGCCTGGCTGAAGGTCCGCAGCTTTTCCTCAAAGGAGCGCCTCATCTCCTCCACCTCCCTGGACATGGACACCACACGCTGCGTGTGCTGCCGCCAGAAGACAGCAATAACAGGCCTGAGCTGACAGGACGGTCGATGTATGGATCTGTTGGCTTCTGACTCTGTGGGTAAACTTTTCTAAAAGCCCAGAGGCAGGGGGTGATGTACTGGTTGAGGAGAGGGGGAGGAAAAGGGGGATGGGGGGGTGAGGCGGGGGGTGACCTTTCTGGGTCAGACATGTTCTC